AGAGAGAGAGAACGAGAGAGAGAAATAAAGAGAGAGAGAGAGAGAGAAATAAAGAGAAAGAAAAGAAAGAAAGAGAAAGAGCAAGAGAAAAAAAAAAAAGGGGGGGGGGGGGAGATTTTTCAAAGAACTCAGCTTACATAAATATCTGACTTATTCTTGACTCTTAACTCTCACAGACACAGTTTATTCTCACTACTGGTATTTATCTAATAAATAAAGAAGTCGAGTGTGGGATTCCAGTACCATTACTGGCGTCGCATATATTTAATGTGCTTCTTTTCATATGTTCAGTTCTAAATCTATGTGCAATAACTGTCTGCTCTATTCATATTCCCCTCATGATTTCTGCCCTCAGAACAATGTCGATAGCATTTCGTTACCACGATTCCAGCTCAGCGCCCGTATCGTTCATGTCACGCTCGCCCAAATCTTTATTTCGTAGTAGAGGATAACCTTGATATCTTCTACATACTGTAATTCACCATCACCATCATCATCATGGAGCAGGTCCTTGCAGAACGTCGCTCTCATCACAGTCTCGCCAGCTCTCCCGCCTCGTGTAATTTTATATACAAGGAATCACTTAAATCACTTAAATCTTATCTTTGTGGTCGTCGGCCCCTGCCCCTCATTTCTAGTACCATACCTTCTGCTGTTATTTAAAAGTTTTTAGTTTAATTATGAATAAAATATTTGCTAAAGTTTCTATTAAACAAAAACCACAAGGTCTTTCGTTATACTTAAGCAGTTTGCACACACACCGTCAATATCTAAGTGATATGATAACACGCACATTCAATTGTAGATTAAGAACACTTTCTGACCAAAATGTATCTATACAATTTCTGTTTTCCCTTACTGTTGAATCTATTGTCCTTCTCTTTTTAATCACGTTTTATTATGTTGAAATGGCCATGGTAGCAGGAAATGAAGAGAATTGGGGGGGGGGGGGGGGGCTTGCCATATACTCAAGATTGCTTGGGGTCTCACTGTATCCTCCAGGGTGCGTCGGGTCTTGTAATATATATATTCAGGGGAATTTAGGGTGAAGGCCGCCACCTGAAACAAATGGTTGGAGACAACAATCTTAAAGTGTGAAGAAACGAGTTTGAGGATCTGCTGGCATCAGGACGCCTCTGGTTGGTTAGAACATCCTGTATCCAGACGCGCCCTGCATCACAGAATACCATGACATATTTCTTTTCTTTGAAAAATAAGCTTTTATTAATTTTGAAAAGTTTGGGCAGCCATTTGCGCTCGATTTGAATACTGTTTTCCCTATAAGCTGTATTGTTGACATTTTGCACACATCTACTTTGTGGATGACCATGCAATGTGGTGAGAGAATGTTTTCAGTTTTTAACAGTTTATGTTACTCGACTCAAATGGTCACTGGTCACTTTCATTATAAATTTGATTCAATTGTTACGCACACACGCACGCGCACGCACGCACGCGCGCGCACACACGCACACACACTCACACATACACATATTATCAGTTGGCGCCCCAAACTGTTATTGTGGTATAAAATTGTTGATCTGACCCGGTCAACAATTGCTTGCCGAAGTTGGATGTGTCAGCCGAAAGTCGCAAATATCACAGCCATGCTTCAAGCGAGCACAACGCAGTTACATAATTGGATGAACGCAGAAGAAGAAGAAATTGTTGGTGACAATTTGTAAAGATAATTAGTAGGGCTGTACCAAATATTCGCTTCGTATTCGCTTCGGGGCCGAATAGTGAACCTATTGACTATTCGGTATTCGGCCGAATAGTTGCGGTCGGGCCGAATACGAATAATAGTTACCTTACACCCGCTTCTGCATAAGGTTAGTTGCGTAACCTTTACATGACGTTGCAGAACCAACCCCAACAGCTCCTGACTGTTCTGCTGTTTTTCTAGGGAAACTTACGTCCAGTAGTTTGCCATTGCCTACTGGACGGTCGGCTTTCTCGATACCACTGTCGAAAACTACGCAAGGCGCATGGCCCGCAGCTGGGATTGAACCCGGCGTCCCGGCATTACGAAGCGTTCGCATCGACTTAGCCACAGAGCCGACCACTTCTGCATACACGGCCTTAATACTGAAAACATGGAACGATTGGTTTTGTTGAAAGCTAATGCACCTTTCATGTATTAACTAAACTGTTAGTGACAATTTTCAAGTTTAGTTACTTGTTATAATACTTAGGATTTCTAGCTATTAGTTACCACAGACTGACTGAAGGATGCAAAACATAAAATGTTTTCAAATGTTTACTATTCTGTACGAATACTAACTAGACATAGAAAGAATATAAACTCCGGCCACATCCAAGTCGGAAACGTATAAGTACTTGGGTGCAAACTGCAACTGCTCCAACATGCTGAGAGAAGAAACACAATCTAGAATATAATCTAGAAAAAAGATATACTAATCCTTAGGACAAATCTTTGGACCCATCAAAGATGGAAACAGCGGGGAATGGAGAGTGAGAAGCAACAACGTAACACATAATCTGTTTAAATCACCAATTATCACTGGCATTATGAGAGCTAATAGATTAAAATGGTTAGGGCATATTGAAAGAATTACAGAGAAGTAAAAACTTTATACACCAGGGAGAGGAATGGTCGTAGACCTCGAGGCAGACCAAAAAAAAAAAAAAGTTCGAGAGATAATGCCCAGACAGACCTGCAAACAACTGGTGCCACACGTTGTGAAGAGAAGGCCAGCTAGAGAGGTGAATGGAGACGAGTGATATCTGCAGCAGTAAACCCCAAGGGCTCAGAAAGCTAAAGAAGAAGATGACTATTCTGTGCTACTTTATATGAAATAAAAGTTCAGCGCACATTTGACATTATAAATGTGTGTGTATTTTTTTTTCGATATATTCTATACACTATACACTATTAGTATTCGTCTTCGTATTCGGCCGAATAGTTGGTCCAGTTATTCGTATTCGGCCGAATAGTGAAAATCACTATTCGGCACAGCCCTAATAATTAGTTAAACTTCTGTATACATTCAGTTTAAATGGCAAAGTATACATACAATATTAGTTTGATAAAACTTGTCATTGTGAATATATCATGTCCAGTGTACCAATTTTTTTAAAATATCTTTTTAGTGCATTAGTTTTTGTATGCAAGATAAGCATTAAAAGCTTATAATATAAACAGTTGTAGCATTTTTTTCATTACAAAAATGTATTTAACATTGATTTGACAAAAGTCTATCAAAACGAAACACCATCGTATGCTTGACGATTGTGTCGATAGTCAGTCATAAACCTAAATATACCAACTGTGACACCATATTGTGCAACCGGTTTATTCATGTTATGTTGATACTGTATGGGTAAAAAAAATGAATTTATAGCCACAACAATTCGCATTGAATACACAACCCCGCACCTACATTCGCAGTCTAAACATTTTCATCATCATCATCATCATCATCATCATCGTCGTCGTCGTCGTCGTCGTCGTCTTCTTCTTCTTCTTCTTCTTCTTCTTCTTCTTCTTCTTCTTCTTCTTCTTCTTCTTCTTCTTCTTCTTCTTCTTCTTCTTCTTCTTCTTCTTCTTCTTCCCCCACCTCCTGCTTCTTCCTGTCATTGGTTTTCAGATTTGAAAACCACATAATAAAGGTAATCAGCCGGTTTAAAAAAACAACTTTTCGACGTTCTGTTTTTAAAGATTAACTTGTGCGGTTTTTCAACCAGTTATTCATGCCTTTACATTTTAAATGTTTTTGTCCTATCTTGCTAGTCCGATCTACTATATTTTGAGCACCTCTCTAATATCAGTACTGCAGCCATTGAATGAGATCGAATGACTATTTGTGGTTTGTTGTCCTACTGTAGCTAAGTCTAGTGCTGCGATTATTGCTATCATTTCTCTGAATATATTGGTGCTTGCTATCGTTGTTGATCGTTGACCTAAATAAAAGGCTCGCGGTCCAAAGACTAATCATAGTTGTTGAGTTAAAACCCAATAATTCAGCCTTATCATGTGACATTTTCAGGTTGCCTCGTCTTCCCCATATTCTGTGAACTTTGTCAGCACCCCTCACTTCTGTTGTCAATTTAGTTTATATTAGGAAAATTTACAAAATTACTAACACTGCAAAAAAATTTGTGAGGTATGGAATATGCAAGTAGACTGATGTATCTGATAACGTAAGCATTGGCGACGTTATTGTTTGAAACTGGTTAATACAATATTTTTCTCTTCCCCCCTCTGTCTGTCTGTCTGTCTGTCTGTCTGTCTGTCTGTCTGTCTGTCTGTCTGTCTGTCTGTCTGTCTGTCTGTCTGTCTGTCTGTCTGTCTGTCTGTCTGTCTGTCTGTCTGTCTGTCTGTCTGTCTGTCTGTCTGTCTGTCTGTCTGTCTGTCTGTCTGTCTGTCTGTCTGTCTGTCTGTCTGTCTGTCTGTCTGTCTGTCTGTCTGTCTGTCTGTCTGTCTGTCTGTCTGTCTGTCTGTCTGTCTGTCTGTCTGTCTGTCTCGCTGTCTATCTCGGTGTCTCTCTGTCTGTCTGTCTGTCTGTCTCTCTGTCTGTTGCTCACTCTCTCACTTGCTCTACTAACTTTTGCTCAGTGTGACACGCACGCGCGCACACAAACACACACACACATACACATAGATTATCTTTCTCTCATGTCTCCCTCCCTAACCCTTCACTTCTGTTTTTATTTTAAATACCTGTACATTTTAAGTCGTGCAGCATTGTAATTCAATAACTTATTTCGTACAACTCTGTTGTTACCAGGCTGATTTTGTTTTCATGATGTCTTGTCTTTTTCCCCCACAGATGGCATGAAGGGACCAGCCGAAGGCCACAATGATCTATTTATGAATCACAGAGAGCAAAATCATCCCGTGGAAGTTGAACAACTGATATTCCGGTAACAGTTACTTCATCAGACTCTGTCGGCTCCAGTGTGAATAAATACGGAAATCCAATTCTGGATCTGGTGGTTTTTCGTTGACCGCTGACGTCTGTCTGGGGGTCAGCAAAATGACCGGGTTTACGGAGATTCTCACCCAGAACATCTTAGTCACCAGTATTCTCATGGGTCTGATTACCCTGGTGGGGTTAGTTGGGAATGCGCTGATGTTGCGTGCACTTATTGTGTACCGAAAACTGCGGACGGATTTCTATACTGTCTTCGGATGTCTTAGTATCGTGGATTCACTGTTTCTCATCATTAGCGCCCCAGCTCATATCATGGAGATGGTGATGGCTACAGACATCACCACCGATGCTTGGTGCAAAGGCAGCCACTATCTTATAGATGCCTGTAGTTTCATTTCGGCCTGTCTAATGGTGGTGCTGACCGTTCTCCGTGGAATCCTGCTGACAAACAGAAACAGCCGACAGCATAAGGCCAGCTATCTTCTGATCGTCTGCGCTGTGATTTCTGTGACCATGTTATTGTGTTCAGTGCCCATTATGTTTGTGTTTACCTCCTATCGCGGGATGTGCGACTTCGTGGACCCGCTCAATCAGCTGAGTCCGCACGCATGGTTGGTCAGTTCATTTTCTGCGTTTGTTCCACTGTTCTTGATAATTCTAATATACTTGTTGACCTACCTGCTGGGCAAACGTTATTTCCCAGACAGTTATTCGCCCATTGAGAAAGAAAAGTCTTGGCTGGTCACGTACATAATCATAGCATTCACAATATTCCAGATTCCATACAGAGTGTTTGTTATTTTTGACCTAAACACAGACCCCACAGACTTCTCACAGCTCAATGAGATGTATACAGTAAGGAATTACTTGATGTGCCTTGTTATGGCGGACAAAGCAGTAAGACCGATTCTGTACACTAAACTAGCTTCAGACCTTAGCGAAGCCTTTGATGAGGTCATCAACTGTACCCTCTGTGCCAAACATTACTCAATGGGCTCTAGATTTAACCGAACATGTGCCGTATACACGTCTCCTGGTAACTCAGCAGCTGTCACCACAGTCCTGAGTTCCACAGAAAGCAATCTTATGCAGAACACAGATAGAGCAGCATCTTCTTCATCGGAGGCGTCTGCTACCTCACAGACACCTTTGACGCGAAGAAATGACGACTTAGATATGGCCATCGATATTTTGGAAGGCTGATGATTGGGTATTGAACTCGGTAATGAGTATCTGTATTAGTTAGACCAGTAAATATTTCCTGTTGCATTCATCGGAAGCAAGATAATCGCATTACTGAATAAAAGTTGTTGTATTTCACTAGGTGATACAGGTGCGCTACATTTGTGATTATTTCTTTCACATCCCTAAAATTCACGGCAGCTTATAGTGAGAGAAAATACCTGCCATAAAAAATCACCAGTGCATTACTTTTACAGAATCTAAATACACAACGTAAATGGTCATTGGGGAAGTCAGATTTCTCTAGTACTTTGTTACCAAATGTGAAAAACCGATGCATTTACCGTTGGCTCCAGACACACTTCACTCCCTGGATAGTACTGGAAAACTTACAGTAAATAATTATACTTGCTTCTATAGTTGTATTACGCTAGCTGTTTTACTCCTTCTGTAGCATTCCATAGTTATTTTGGCTCTTTCTGTCCCAGCCAAACGTTACATACACAAATGTTTATCCATGAAAGGTGCACATGAAAAATTGTAAATATTTCAAGTTATATTAACTATTGCGTATGCAGGGTCAAAGTGACATCTGACTAGTACAGAAGGAGATATTCCATATATGAAATAAGCAACACACCCATGAGGAGTTGCTGGGTACGGCATGAGATATAGAGATGTGTGTTTTCTTCTGGTATGCAGGGGTTTTGTCGTGCCTTGGGTAACACTCGGCCATGCATAGAAACAAATGTGAGATCTAACTCTGCTTGTATTATTAATATAGTGTATCAGTTTTATGTTACAGTAGTGAAGTAATAAGTATAATTAAAAAGTTTAAGCATGTGATGTGTGTATAAATATAACATATAATACTGTGCAAACATATATACCCGGTGTATTTTTAGTGCAACATTTTGGGAACAGTCGCTTTCTTTCTTAAAGTTTGAAAAAGTGCATGCAGCAAGACTTTCTCTTATAGCAGCACCGTTTTGTCATTTGGTAGAATAGTCTTTCAGTGTACAAGTGAACCGATTTGCGTTTAGTAGGAAGCTCTTTTCCTGGATAATCATCGTCGTATGACAAGTCCACCGCAAAACAAAGCTCTCTCGTCACAGCCTGCCGGAAATAAACTTGGTCTGTCGTCAGATCTCCCATCTGCTGTACTTTCCTACATAAGGTGTCACTTATATCATCTGCCTGTTTTCATCTGGTCGCCCCTGCCCATCTTTCGGGGCACCGTGCCTTCTACTATTCTTTCAAATACGCCTTAAGGCGTCACGTGGCCAAAATATTTCAGTTTCCGAGACATGATGCTATTTACCAGTCAATCTTCCTGGATGCTCAAATCTTTTAGAGTGTCAGTATTTCCTTTTCCTCCCTCCTTGGTTCATGGCATTCTGAGAATTTTGCTATAGCATTTCAGCTTAAAATCCAATATTTTTTCTTCCTGAATGACTGTGAGATGGTCCACGACTCATATCCCTATGTTGCTACAGGAAAGATACATGCCTTCAAAGCGTTTCATGGATACTTAAATTTATTCATTATTTAGCAAGACTCATTGAATTGATGCCACTTATCCAGGATTTGAAAGTGCATTCACAAGTATGGTATATATAGTTCTCAACTCTATATCTTGCATGTTCCTGACTGTGTCAGCTCTAGGGTTAAATTAACTTCAGAACCACCGCCAATTCAGTTGGTTAATGACACAACGCGTTTACGGGCCAGCTGACACCCGCACTGAGATGAAGGCATCTCTTTACAGCCAGTGTCGGCGACTGTGGCTTAGGCGCATCGAAAGTGTTTCATAATGCCGGGGTGCCGGGTTCGATCCCAGCTGTGGACGATTTGGGAACAGACCGTCTTGCGTTAGTTTTGACAGTGGTGTTAAGAGCCGCAGACGGTTCAGAAGGCATTAAAATTTGCCTAGAAAAACCACAACAGCCAAATAAATATGGGTTGGTTCTGCGAGGTCCTGCAAAGGATATGCAGCTAAATTTTACACCCAGGACGACCGCCTACTACGACTGGCGCAATACAATACAACGCTGTCTTCTTAAGATTCTGGTGTGCTCTGTTCATTTCTCTACCACAATACAACCTGGAATCACAGTGTTGGTTGATTATTAAGCACGCTAACTATCACAGTCTCTAAATGTGGATACTTTTAAACATTTAACGTGCATTTGTCATCACATGACACGTACATGAACAGGCAGTTAATGCAGCCATGCATACCAGCCACATAACCTAGTCTTGCTAGTATTATAATAACTGCATTAATCAGGAACCCCGCTGGCCTTGGTATGTTGTCTGAATATTTGAACCAGGAATTGTTTACCTAGAGCCATGAGAGATGAAGTGGTTAGCACGCTTGTAGGCTGGCCTGGCAGCCATGGTTTGAATCTTCGTCAAACGAGATTTTAGCAGTGTACCTATCTTCCCAGTTGACCCGACCTAAAATGAGCATCGTGAATGCCATTTAAAATAAAGGCGGTCAGGGTTATTGATGACATACTAAACTCCCCGGCAAATCACGGAGTCCCCAAGATAGGGTGAGTTAAAAGAAAAGAACGCTAGAGCTCAACATATTTACTATTGGTTTTTACCTCTTTGTTGTACAGTTTGTAGTTTCGTCCCTGTTCTATTTATTTCATCACTAAACCACAATTTTTACAGAGTACGTTACACTGTACACGAGGTGCCACTGAGAGTATTGCAGTCCGACAGTGATGGCTCAAGTAATTCCTCTAACTTTTGTCGAATTTATACAAATGATTTCTTGATTTTTACTCATTTTTGTGTTTGTAGATGATTGTTTTATAACCCGATAAATGGCATTTGTTTTTACCTTCTTGATTTTTTCCTTCATCCGAATGGGCTTTCATTGTTTTATCCGACGTATGTGTAAGGAGATACTGCATAATCACGGAGAAATAACGTTTTGTGTTTACAGAAAGATATGTGTGTGTGTGTGAGAGAGAGAGAGAGAGAGAGAGAGAGCGAGAGAGAGAGAGAGAGAGAGAGAGAGAGAGAGAGAGAGAGAGAGAGAGAGAGAGAGAGAGAGAGAGAGAGAGAGAGAGGGAATGAAAGAAGGATGGAAGAGAAGATCAAGAAGAAGAAGAAAAGATACTACGGTGGCCTTTCGTGTGGGTGACTGGATTTGATTTTTAGTAAGGGATGGAGCTTGTTGTCTGTCGGGGGCAACAATAACAATTCTACCTTGCGCAGTTGGTGGCGACTGCACAAGCCTTGCGGTCATAAATGAAATGTGGTTTTTTCCCACTTTAAGAAAATGCATTGTCACGCCATACCACACAAAGCATACATCGAAAGAGGAGAAGTGGGTAGAGCACAAGGTAGAGCAAGAACAAGATTTAAAAAAATATCAGAGAAGCTTAACAAAGGCACAATATATCTATAGTCGAGACTTCAGAAGAGCGAGAAGCAGTATCTTATAGCTTCTTATACACCTGAAGCGGTGAAAGGGAAAGTTAGGAAGAAAACAATAAGACGGTGTATGGGTAAATGTGTCATTCAGGGCATTGTTATTGTCATTAATTGTAATTATAATAATTATTTAGCAATTAGACAAAGCAAATGCGCTTTGAGCTCACCCATCTACTATTATATTTGTTAGAGGATAGAGGCCTTGATGATTACGATTTCATGACTGACACATCCATTGTCTTATTTCTAGAATTATAGATATTCGGCCCAACCCAAATCCATATATCTGTGAGATAAAATTCAGTTTACTGGTGATAATGGGAGCGGATGTGGTGTAGCCTGTAGAAGTCGCAAGCAGACTCGAAGGTAGTGGGTTCCGGTCTGCACAGAGTAGGATTTTTTTTTCTTCCAAAATTGACATTAAAAATTAACACTAGGTAAAGTATTGAGAAGTAAAGGCGACTGGTGTGATGGTGACCACGTCACTCGCCATGCGCGGATTTGTATATAAAGTATAAGCCTAGGCCTGTTTGACCAAATATAGTAAATGTAGTTCCATGCAAATAACTAGGGTCAGAAGTTTCGGATCTTAGATTCATTATAGGTCATGACTTAATGAGGTCGTGTGGCCAGCTGCCTTCCTCGCTACATTCCCTTTATAGAAAACTCCCACAAAATTATGAAATTCTCGTGGTTGCCACAAAGGTCTCTCACGGGGTCGACGCAAGACTCAGTTAAACAACCCACAAAGGTCTCTACACGGGGTCGACGCAAGACCCAGTTAAACAACTCACAAAGGTCTCTACACAGGGTGGACGCAAGACCCAGTTAAACAACCCTCAAAGGTCTCTACACGGGGTCGACGCAAGACCCAGTTAAAGAACCCACAAAGGTCTCTACACGGGGACGACGAAAGACCAAGTTAAACAACCCACAAAGCTCTCTACACGGGATCGACGCAAGACGCAGTTAAAAACCCACAAAGGTCTCTACACGGGGTCGACCCAGTTAAAGAACCCACAAAGGTCTCTACACGGGGTCGACACAAGACCATTGCCTTATCGAATAAACTACATTACCCACAGGGCTACTGCAGCATTCTGAAATATAATTATTAAATATTGATATATTATACTTTTTGGGGGGTTTTGCTGATGAACATTTTGTAACCGCAACGTCCATTCTGCCACTAGTTACTGTCTTCTTGTGCTACCTTTAAATTTTCTGTCAGTATGAATTCATCAGTTGTACTTTAAGAATCGTTGTACAAAAAAATACTAGTGATGTTTGTGCATTGTTGCGTTCACATTTTGCACCAGATGGGGAACTTCGAGCAGACGGGGAAATTAAAGCAAATTGGATCTGATTGCTCTGATTCAGTGCGACATTACCGCTTGTTGCAGCCTCCCTGCTAATCAAACAACATGCGGGTAGACACATGATGGTGGTCATATGATAGATATTACTGGCGAGCACTGTCCTGTATGTCGCCGTCTGTGTCTTAAGCGTTGTCTACGCGCGTTGCAATTACGATTGAGGTTCGAGGTTTTGAAAAACGGATCAGCAGT